CTGACGGAATGTGCCTAACCTCCACAAGAGGCAGGAGTCTTAGTCTTCCAGAGTCCTCCAACCTTCCCTGATGTTCAGCCCTGATAATCATCATAAGCCAATGCCATGTAGACTTGTGTTCCCAGAGCAGATCTCCAGGGCCAGGTGTGCAGAGTTCCTGAGCACCTATCCCTTCCCTGCTCCATTCCATCTGCTTGTTGGCTGGGTTGGGGGAAGGGTTGGGGTCCTGACTGATTATGGCTCTACCACTTTATCTTTCCCTTTGTTGTCTTCTCTTCTTCACCAGCTTTAGGTGTTCTGTTCTGCAGTCTTCAGGTTATTCTCAGGGTTAGTTGTATTTTCTGAAGTTGCTTCCTTGGTGTGTCTGAGGGAGGTTTTCGTCTTGCCTTCCTGTTCTGCCATCTTTTTTCACTTCCATGCATCTGTTTTTGTATGCTGTCTAATTTATCCATTATACCCTAAGCATATTAATCATAGTTGTTTTAAATTCCCAGTTGAGCAATTCCAATACCCCTGCTGTTTCTGGTTCTGATGCTTGCTCTATCTCTTCTAATTGTGGGGGTATGTTTTGCCTTTTGATATGCTTTGTAATTTTTTTCTTGGTAGCTGTACATGAGGTAATGCATAAAAGAAACTTCTGTAAATAGGCCTTTTGTGATGTAGTGTAAGGTATGGGGGTGTGGAAGTGTTCTATAGTCTTATAATTGGATCTCAGTCTTAGCAGTTCTGCTGTGAGCTGCACAAGTGCTTCTCAATCAGGTTTTTTCCCCTCTTCTCCTAGACCCCACAATGTCTTCTGGACTTGGAAAGCCTAGGGGGAGGAGGGACGGGCCCCAGGACCACTGCCAGGTCTTGGAGCACATTAGGGTGGCCACACTGAGCCCCCAGTCTGACCGCTTCTCATGGAGGTCCAGCTCCTCAGCTAGCCTATTGGGGAGAGTTGAACAATAGGCATTGATGGTGTGAAAAAACATTAAGAGTGAAGAGAAGAAGAGAACCTTGCAGACATGTATGAGAAGAGTATTTCAAGCAGAGCAAATCATGGTGGCAAAGGCTTTCAGGTGAAAACCTATTTGGAGTGAGTGGCTGGGAGAGCAAAGTAAGAAATAAGAGGTGTAGCTAGGGGCAGGTCATGTGGGGTTACATGCTGATGGGAAACCATTGGTGGGTTTGAATGGATAGTGACATGATTTAATGCATGCTTTATAAGGATTATTCTGGCTACAGTGTAAAGAATAGAATGTAGGGTGTCAACTTGGGTGCTGGAAGGCCAGAAAGGAGGCTATAAAAATAATGCAGGTGAGAAGTGGCTTGTATGAGGGAGGTGGCAATGGAGTTGGTGAAAAGCAACTGAAATTCTTTCAGGTAGATCTGACAGGAATTTCTGATAGATTAGATGAGGGTTTTGAGAGAAGGATCTCTTTCTATAGTTTCCCCTGAGTCTTGGGTCAGGTATATGTGCAGCTCCATGTTGCAAGGAGACATCACTTTTGGCCACCCACATTCTTACGGTGGCTTCTAGTTTGTTCTCATGGGTTTCAGTTTATCCCTGTAAGATTCATTTGTCCTGGTTCTCGCCTGCTTCATATCTGACTTTTGTTCCTGATTCAGGCTAATTACCAGCTGCGAAAGCTTCCATGTACTCACCAGCAACCCTAGCGGTGTAAGGTCTGTCTCTGTAATAAATTCCTTATTTCCTGTCACTCAGAGTGACCCTACTTTCCTGAACCGAACTTAATTGATACAAGTTTGGCATGTTTATCAGCCCACTGAATAGAGATGTTGATTGGCCAGTTGAATATGTAAGTCTAAGGAATGACTTAGCTGTATTCATGAGTTATTTTTAAGTGTTTTGTTATCCTGTGGTAAATAATTCTTTAAGCTGTTGGCTTCTATTACACTATGGTCAGAGAATGTGGAACTGTAAGTTCTTTGGCATTTATTGAGACACGGTATTTTTTTTTTTTTTTGCAAATGTTTCTTGTGATTGGGAAGAATGCATATTTTCTGCTTGTTGAGTAAAGGGATGTTTTGGGTATCTACACAATAGATGGGAAATAGATACCATAAAACCCTTAGTTAATCTTAATAACCAAGATAAAAGAATTTTAGGTGAAATTGCTGGGGATTAAGAAGGTCATTGTATATTTATAAAAGAAATAAGTCGTTGGGAGACCTAACCATCTTTGATTTATACACACATAATTCACAGACTCAAATATATGAAGCTTACTGAATTACAAATTCAAATAATTTTGAGTTATAAATTATTTATAAAATTGACAAAACAAATTAATTACGAAAATTAACAAACCAAGTCATATTATGTATATATGTGTGTGTGTTGCTATACCAATTAAATAAATTATATTTCCTGTAACAAAAACAAATTTGAATGGCATTATTAAGCACCTATACATCAATTTTTTGAAAGCCAAAGTTCAGCATTCTTAGGGTAGAAGCTCAACATTCTTATATCAACCTGATAGGTTAATCTATATAACATAAAAATCAACTAAGCAATATTTTTTCTTACTGTAAAATTATGATAAAACTACATTTTATAAACACATATATGAAAAATTTACATTCAAAATTATTTTAGAAGATATGTCTTTCAAGTGCTATGAGCTGCTACACATTTTCATACAAGTTTAATACTTAAAGAATTCAAAGGACTTGTTCCAGTTAAAAAAAAGAAAAAAGGCACAGTATTGTTTTTTCAAACCTGCATTTTCATGGTTTATAATCTTCTGTCCCTGATTTATGTAATCTATCCCTTCCTTGTCTGTTAAAATATTTCAAAGTACTTATTTTATGCCTCTTTTAGAATGCAGTATTTTTTCAGATTCTTTTAATTCTCTCTGTGGATTTTCTTTCCTGGCAGTTAAGTTTCTTGTGTATTTTATAATTTTTGTGCATAAGCTCATATAAATATGCCAGTTTTTATTCTCTCTCCAGTGCTATTATTCATTTAAACTAAACCACAGCTACCATGCATAATAAGGTTAAATTAAACTTTCAGTGCTTGGTTTCAAAAGTTATCCCAGAAAGTAAAGCATGCCTAATAGTCTTTGAATCAGTTGTCTATTAAGCAGATACCACAATATTAATGATTGATTTACTATATTAAGCTGTTTAACTAGCAGTAACTTATAGGCAATGTTTTAATTCCTTCCATGATTATTATTATAGCAATTAAAAAGCCTTTATAAGTTCATGGTGAATAGTGTGGTTCTAGATGTCAGTTTTTGTTGTTATTACTATTACTCTTGGGGTTGATGACAGCTATTAATGTGGCATGAAGGAGGATGCTATGGATTGAATTGTGTCCCCCAAAGAAGATATGTTGGAGTCCTAATTCCCAGTACCTCAAAATATGGCCTTATTTGGAGTTGAGGTCTTTATAGAGTTAATCAAATTAAAATGAGGCCATAGGGTAGAGCCTAATCCAATATGACCTCTACCTTTATCAAAATGGGAAACTTGGACACATGCACACATACACACATGTACACACACTCGCAGAGAACACCACATGAAGATGAGGACAGAGGCCTCCAAGCCAGGGAATGCCAGATTGCCAGCAGATCACTGCAAAGTAGGAGAGACAGATGAAACACATTCTCTTTCAGAGGGAACCAACCTCGCCATCACCTTGATCTTGGGCTTCTGGGCTTCTTTAAGTCACCCAGTTTGTGATCCTTTGGTACAGCACCCCCAGCATACTCAGACTAAGGGACTGTGGTAAAAAGCAGCCCAAATCCTTCTGTGGGGAGTACCACTGACTGTGATTCCTAGTGTCCTCTATGATAGGCCAGGTTGATCTCAGCTTTCATCTTTTCTACCTTCCTGGCAAATTTCCTCATACTTATGCAAGGTCCAGAGGCTCAGGACCTCAAGGGTTATTTTGTGACAGGTTACCTTAGCCCCCAAGTTAAAGCATCGTGGCCTTCAGCAAATTACGTCTCCTGGTCTCAGACTCCTCATCTCCAAGGTAAACTAGTGAGACAAGAGTATGTAAGCTCTCTTCCCAGCTGTGTGATGATTCCCACAGCACTGATAAAGGTTAGCCTGACCTTCCGTAACTCCATTTATTCTGCTGGAGACCATCCTCTATAAACATATTTAAACCACATCTTGACTATAAGCTATGTGTATCTTTTTTTTAATTTACAATATATAACTAATGAGTTGTCAGCACAGTGTATTGGAAAGTATGGTCATAAAAATCAGGAGATCTGAAATCTTATCCTGATTTCAGGATAACAATCTGATTAAAACTCAAAATAAGATAGTTTATTCCTCTTTGTAAATTATGCTCTAGGCTAATTATTTTCTTATACCATAAAAGATTATTTTTATTTAGAATGAGTCTAAAGTTCAACCCAGCATGTGCATAAAAATGCAATTATCAAGACCTCTCAGGTTTTTCCTTCTCTCAATCCTACCCGCATTCTAATAATAAAATACTTTTTTTTCTCAAAGAATAAATGAGCTTTTGACCACCCAATGGGAGCTATGTGGTTGGTTTGTCTTTTAGAGGCATGGAAGGAGGTAATGCTGTCATGCTATTGGGCATTATGATATTGCCATCGGACACAGTTTTGCCCAGGGCTAACCCTTGTCCTAGAGTCACACTGGGTGTCAGGTTGTGGCCTGAAGCTTTTGTAGAAGCACATTAAGAGGTAGGAATTCAATAAGCCAGTGTAAGCCTGGTTCAACATAAAGGACATTCACAAAATGAAGCCCATGTGATTTGTGTGCAGTTTAGTAGGCATACAATAAAGGAACTCATTACAAAAGCTGTTCCTTTATCCCTGGATTTTTGAGCATATACTATGCTTTTTGATAAATCATTTTTCTGGGATAGTTTATAATAGCAGCTGGTCGCCTTCTGTGTTGTTTTATTGCTTACACCCAGCGAGAGCGTAGGCATGATACAAACTGTCATGCATTCCCAGACTTCTGTTCACAATAAGGAGTAGACACAATGCCAAACCAAAGTGAGTTTATTGACATTCCTAGAAGGTGGTATGATGGAAAGGAGAAAGCTCGGCCTGAGTATCACATGACATTTCTCTCGTCGAAGTTAGCAAAATCAGCCCAATAATGTGGACTTCTCCTGCTGTTGACTAGAACAAAGACTTTTAACAAAATTGTTATAGACATTTCCTTAGATAAACTGGAAGCTGCAGGAAGTAGGCTGATGGAACAATATATACTGTATAAACTACCTCTAGGCACCTTTTTTTTCTACTAGAACAGGGACTACAAGTCACTAACAGGAAAATAACACTTTTGCTTTGGGACCTTGTGATGGCTGGAACATTCATCCCAGATTTTTGTGATACAGTATTGCAGAGTTTTAATAATGAACACTGAAGTACATAATAATAATAATAATAATAATAATAATAATAATAATAATAAAGCACCACATTTGTTATTTAAAGTTCTAACTACTTTCATTTGAAAGTGTTTTATCTTGACTGGGAAAACATTTGTGGGAACTGAGAAATTTCCCAAACCCAAATTTTGGACAAATGGTTTGACATATATTCTGACGATGCCACAAATGTAGCACTGGAACTGTCCAGAAAGTCTGGCTCATTAGCCTGCCTCACAAATACACTTACTGCTAAAGGACATATGATCATATTAAATGGGGAAAATATTTGTATTTTGCATATGTAAGCCTGCCAAAGAATCATATACCACTTTTTCTTAACTTCCTCATTGCCCTCCAAACACTTACTAGTGATGGTAGTAAAAAATATTCACAACCACAACTTACATACTTAGGAAGCCACAAAGCTCAGTAGCTCTAGAATACTTTTCCTGACCCTGTGAGTCACTTCTATTTTTCTGGGATTATCATTTTCATATGATAGAGTAAAATGTGTGACAGCCATGAAATTATGATAATACATAATAATATTTTGAGGCATTTTTCAAATCAAAACAGGTTTTCTCTTATTTATTGTTCTTGTTTGTCCCCCAATGAAGAGTAGTACTCTTTTACTAAAACTAGCTCTAAAAGATTTTGTTTTAGGGGAACTGTGGTTCATATGTGATTAAGTTTATTATATACCTCCCTGGACAAAGCTCATACTTAAATTTAAAAAATTATAAGTGATAACAAACAGATTTACCTTGCCTGTTGAGTTAAATGATTTGAGGTGGTTTATACTTCTACCTGGTAAAATTAATAACAATAAAACAATTTTGGTCCTACAGCTCTTTTATTACATATATAATAAAATATATATAATTTAAAAATCAGCATCATATATAAGGGAATATTAACTAAAGAAACTCAACTGAGAATTTAAGGATCTTTCCATAGCAACCATCTTTACTCCTCTTCTATTTTCCCTGCGTAAGGATTCTGTACGAGGCTGTAATGGAATCTTGGGACCCTGTTAAGCAAGCTTTGCATTTTTTCAGCAAATGCTGACACCAGTATTTTTCTTTTTTTTGTACTCTGAAACAGTGTTCCTGTAATGGTTTATGAGGTTCATCTAGAGCCATGGTATTGAGTGGAGGGGAGATGGGGGTAGGAATAAGGAAAAGTTCGCTGATAAATCATTTGTGCCTGTTATCTATCTATAATTTCTAGGATACCTAGTTCTTTCTGTGTTTGGGTAGAATAGACCTTAATCTGATTAGTAGATTTAATTAGATATTCTTGTAAATTGTGACGCTCTCCAGGAGCAGGTTCCATCTTTTGAACAGTTTTCCCCCTTGCCAATGCCAACAAATAATATAAGTACTAAGAGAAGAAGGGAATGCTTGAATTAGTATTTACGTGCATACAACATCAAGTCCTAAAAGTGGAAGATCCTCCTACACTACAGATGCTGTTCAAAGAGTCAGACTGGTGAAGTGATTTGCATATTCCTTATGTTCTGATTTTTTAAATGATGGCTCAACTGGAATCCAATCAGATCCTGAAATGTATACTGAATTTTACAGGTCCTTCAAAGTCTATACTATGTATCTTACCCATACGACCCTATCTTGGTAAATATTCTTTTTAGATAACAATAGAAGGCTAAATTTCTATAACATATGTACCACTTGACTGACAACAGATACACAGCAGCAAGGGTTCTGGGAATTATAAATAATTCCTACTAAAAGAGTATGTCACTTTGGAATGCAGAAAGCACAGTAATGTACTGTCCAGACACAAACCCACCCATTGAGCACAAGGCATTGCTTCCTATGAAATTAACTTCCTCTTACATCCCTTACACCTCCTTTGTTTAATGTCTTGAAAACAACAATGTGACATTTCAACAGTGGGCCCCTTTTGCACTTGTTTTCCCAGTGAAGAAAAACACTTTCCTTTAAGTCTGACTTCAGACAACATGGATAACAAGGTTAGAAAAACAGCAAATGACCATTATGTTTGGGTTTATTCCAAATGTAATTGAGAGGTTAGGCTGTGTTTGGAGCCTGCAACTGTTATTTTGAACACAGTTTTCTGAGAGCTCTCTTTTTACTGAATGCTAAAAGGAACTAGATAGCTGTTTTGACAAAAACCAATATGCCCTTGGGGTGTCAGGGCTCCAGTCGTGGAGGACTGCACTGAAGGAGAAGTATTATATTGCCCTTGGTCCCCAACAAAGCACCATCGCTCTCTGCAGCTTCTTGTTTAATGTCCCTGTGGACAATCAGATGTAAAGGACTCTGAAAGCCAGATTAACAAGAAAAAAGAAAAAGAGAACAACATGAAAAAAATATATATCAAAGTTAAAATAAAAATATGTTTGCCAAGTGAGTTTACCGGGTTTTAACAAGTCATGAGATGATGTACACATTGTTAGGGGTTGGATGAAGGCAAGTGGTAGCTAGATTAAACAAAGCAAAATGGTACAGAACTCCGTGACTCGAACCAACCTAATATGGCCCTCTTCCCTCTTGCCTGTTTGTATCATCACACTCTGGACAAGACAATGGAGACAGAAGCCTCCAAATTTCTGCCACATAAGGAGATCGTCTCCTTGGACATGCTCACAAGTTTGTGCTTCTTATGTGGTGAGTGCCCACGAGGGGTGCACCCCCTCCTAGACTTGTCTGAACTCAAGTTGAGCCACAGTCCTCACACCTGGAGGTGCCACACTGCAGCAGTAGGAGATGTTCTCTTGCTGTTATTATTTGTTGGAAAGTGTAATATTTGCACCATATTCTAGGCTAGTTCCAGCTGATGGGACTGATGCCACATATGAATCATGAGTTGAATGTATAAAAATTTTGGCTTTGCCACTGCTATTTTTGGATGGATAGTATGCATGGGGAAAAGTAGAGTGGGAAGAAAAGAGTTGACTGGTTCCTAGTTCTGAAGTGGGTTGTTAGCAATTATAAAAAATGGTGGCTCTGCTCAGAAGACATGGGCATATAAAAGCTTGGAATGCTTAATGCTCAAATTTTCTCTTAAATTATATAAATGGAAGTAAACATTTATTACCATTTGGTCAAGTGTAGCATAACTTGCATTCATATTTCATTGTTAGTAATGGAGGTATGTGGAGATATACACAGACCTTGAGACAGCTGTTTTTCAATATTGCATACAGGCTAGCAGTTCATTGAAAGTAGAGGAGATAAGCCTGAAGGTTAGATCTTAGAAGAAGGCAGTTCTTCATGCACAGCTTTTGTCAATCCTGATTTGGTTTGAAAATAAAAATCATGGAATACCAAAATCAAAGAGTCAGGGAAAGGGAAGGGGGATCATCCCAGAAAGGTTGATGTGACTGATCAGGAAAATGCCAGGTGAGTTCCATTTCTTCATTCAAGTCCAAAGGTGCTGGTTTCTTCAACTGCTGTTAACAGCTTTTCATACAGCATGGAGTATGAGGGATAAGGTGGAAGATCCAATCGATTAAAGCATGTGTGTGCCCTGAATGGGGGAGAAGAGACTGGTTAAAGTGTTTGTTTCAGGGATACCACAGGCTTGTGTGCATCTGTAACTAGTCTGGAGCTGTGAATCGAAAGGGAGCAGAACCGTGGCTTAGGACCATCACAGAACATTGTAACTCGGAAGCACTGCCTGTTACACATGTATAAACCAGTTGTAAGCAAGCCACACTCCATGAGAACTTTACTAGCAAATCACTGATACACCCCATGGTGTCAGCTCTATTTTGCAATTGAGGTATGAATGTGGATGTGGTCAATGAAGGAGGCAGAAATATAATTAGTATTAGAGATCATACTCCTATCTCTCCTTCCCCAGCTCTGATTTCTGGCCTCAGGAAACTATATGCATCAACTCAGAGGTGCCAACAGATACCCTGGGATTCTGAGCTCCAGTGCTCTCCCAGGTTAGTCGTGCCCCGGAGGTGGTCTGACTCCTCTACCACTCCCAGTGGGACACACATACCCCGAAGCATTTCCAAGACAGCTGCACTTGTGGGACAGTCTTGCCTGGGTGCCTGGAGTGTCCCTATGCCATCTGCCCTGGGTTCTTGTCCTGTGCCTGATCCTGCAGGCTGAAGGCATGCCAGTGTCTGGCTTAGATAAGGAATGGCCTCCTCTGCCACGTGCTGACATACATAGCAGGACCAGACCCTTTGTCACCAATGTTGGGCTCAGCAGTGTCTTGGAGGCCCAGATTCTAATCCTGTGGAACTTCAAATCACCTGACTAGCTTCTCCCCATCAGAGGCTCTTTGTTTTTATGGAATTGTTGGTTGATGTACCAAAGTATGGAGAAAGGTGGATGCTTGCAGCTGAAGGTTAATTTAACACCTTTTCCTCCTTAAAAGAGGTGGTGTGTTGCAATGGTGTTTTGAGAAGCCAACCAGCACAAAAAAAAGGGTATTATACAATAAAAGAAAATGTCACAGAACACACACATACAAACAAAGCTAAACAAAGCCCTAATCAAAGAAACCATTCTCTCTTCATCTGCATTTTGAGATATTAAACTCTTATTACAAGATCTCCAGGAGAGTCATATATAATTCATACCTGTATTTTCAGAGTTCCCCATCAGCTCAGGGTATCAGAGAGACAGGGCAGTGGGGCAATGGAAGAAGGCAAAGGCAAGGTGGGTTTTCCCACACAGGGAGAAGCTGGGGAGGATGCCATTGTTTTGTTTGCCAGCATCCATCCCTCCTTCTCCTGGAAACAGCTCCCTCATTGTCCTTGGGAACCTAACACCCTCACCTTGACTCCTTGACCCCTTGACCCCCTCTCCTTACAACCTTCAAGGGTGGGCATGGGGTAGTAGAGTATCTGGCCTTAGGCCTTAAGGAGTTAACTAAGAGATATAAAAATAGATATTATTAGAGGTCTCAGATTATTTTCTAAGATTCAAATGGGTTGTTGACTTGAAAAGAAAATTGAATATTTTGTCTAAACTTATTTCAACTCAAAGTGAAAGTGAACCCAGTGAATTGAGTAGCATAACAATTACAAAGGTCCTTCTCTATATTTAGAATGATTGAAACTAGGACGTACTCTGGGCTTTGGCGAACCTAAGTTAAGTGGGACAGAAAAATCCCAAGTACATTTTTGGAACCAGCTGAATTAGCCAGAAGCCAGATTGGAGCAGAAATCATCTTCTTGATTTTCTTCCTATGGTCATTTTAACAGGCACTCATGAGTGGAAATACTACAGCACAAAATCCTCTATTTATCAAATAGTTGGAACCAAATTAATTCTGTGAAAGATAACTTCTGGGCATAAACCAAAAGCATTAGCAAACGGCACTTCTAGTATGAACACAGAGAGTTTCTTCAAGAGTTGCTTTTATTGCATTTATTTACAGCCTTGTTTAACTCTCTTAAATAAATTCTAGTTTGTAATTTAGAATGAATGAACACAGCCAAACTACAGTGTGATTCAGTGTGCCTAAAGGCTTGCCACCCTCCAGGTGTGGTTCTGACACTTCAGAGAGCCTGCTGACCTCATTCTGTGAGCACTGGACCTAGGTGGGGGGTTGGGGGTGGGAAAGCAGGGAACCAGGGCTTGGCAGACCTCTACTTTGATCACAGTCTAGCCACTTGATAACCTTGGGAGAGTCAATGAATCTTCCTGAGCCAGTTGAGTCACTTGTAAAATGGTAATAATACATGCTCCGTGTACTTCAGAGGGTCGCTGTAAGGACCTATTATAGAATGTGCATAAACACCTCCCATAAACTGTGAATCACCATTTCAACATAAGATGATCTTAATAATGCAACCACAGTTGCATTAACAGTTCCTAGAAGAACTGTATCGTCTTTGTGGGGACTTAAGACCCTCAGCTTTTTTCACACAAACTCCTGGCGAGTGAATCACCCTCATCTCCTATTTGAGTGATTGATATTTTGGAACCCCACCAAATATGTTCCATTTTCAATCATGCCAGGTCAGATTTCACTCTGTGGGTGTTAATCTGCGGTTCCAGCATTTTGACATGAATTTGGATTGTGCCAACCACTGTGTTATTCTCCCTTTGAATTGTGTCATCTGCACAGTTGATCTCCTGGCCACCTCCATTTTTTTTCCAAGTTACTGATTAAAATATTAGCTAACACAGTGCCAAAGGCAGTCTTGCTCTCTCCAGTAGGGATGACTTTAAAGCAGGTTAAAAGTAAACAACAAAAAGAGGGAACCGCCATGCTGTCAGCCGCTGGCTGTTGTGAGGCCAGTTATGTCCGACGTGTCTCCCTTCACGTCACACTCTGCTGCCCGTCCCGCAACAGCCTCATTCTCCAGCCTCTCGTCACTCCGGACTCCACTCTTTTTCAGGTTTGGCAATCACCTCTCGGTCCCCAAATACAGAGGCCCATCCTCTACCCTTGCCTCCTCATGCTCTTTAAGAGCACTCGGCAGATCTTCCTCTTGAATGTCTCTGGCCCCTTGGCTTCTCCACAGCTTCTCAATGGCTGTCAGTTTCTCTTCCGAATTCCCAGTGGCTCCCCAAGCCTCCTTTGTGCCCTTACAGCCTGCAGAGCAGGGTTTCTCACCTCAGCACTGCCGACATTTGAACTTGGCCATTCTCCATCGTGGGGTGCTGTCCTATGCACCATGGGTGTTTGGCAGCGTTCATGGGCTCCACCTGTGAGATGCCAGTAGCATGCCTCCCCCACAACCAAATACGTCTCCAGACATTGCCAAATGTCCCTCAGGGTGTGGTGGGCATCTCTCCCCAACTCCCCTTGAGAACAATCCCTATAGAGTAGGCCTAGATTTACTTTAACAAGGCCTCTACTTCACCCTGAGCTTGGGCTCAGTTCCCATTTGTGGTGAAGCATGTTTATGCTTCTGTTTGCAATTTTTAGGCCCATTAACATGCCCATGACTCATAGTTCTGTAATCCGTGGTCCTGACTCCAAATGTAATCCCTCAGGTTCTCTCCTCTCCTTTATTCTATCTCCACACTGCCTTGTGCTACATCTGCTTTGACTAGCTTCTGGGCTTCTCTTTCCTTCCAACTCCCTTGTCTGTCCTCTCACCAGTCCTTGCTCCTTGTGAGGAAACTCTCCCACTTTCTGAAGGTCTTTCTGACATGACCTTGCAGGCCTGGTGTCCCTCCCTAGTTCTCACGAGTGGAGACACTACTGTTCACCCGGCCACATTTTGAGCTGCAAGTGAGCACTCTGCTCATGCCCACTGCCAATTCTAGATAAAAAATTTCTGTTCCTTTGAATCTACTGCCATTTAGGTAGTTTTTCCCCAAAAGTACAAGTTTTGTCTAGCATTTTTTTAATGAAACTGGATAGAGTAGAAAATAGAGTGTATTACCTGCAGATAATAAGGGTAAAATGTTGTTTTGAAGAACTCGTATTTCAGATACACACACAAATACATATGTACATACTGGGTTGTGATATAAAGGGCATTTCTTTCTGTGGGTTAAGATTTAAAAAGTTTGGAAACCAGGGATATGCCTTCTGTATTCTGAACTTCTGGCTAATTACATTTATTAAAATCTCTTGTGTTTTGCTTAAGCCTTTCCATTTCAGGTGTCCCCTCCAGACTGTGTGGCGTCTGGGCCCACAGGGGTGACCTGCTCAATGCCCTAGCCTGCCAGCTCGTTGACTGCCCCCGAGTGCTCACCCCCCGTCCCTCTGGTATTTTACCTGTGGTGGCATACAAAGTTTCTTCAGCAAGCACTGTACAATTCTATCCTAGAACCCCCTACTCTTAAAGTCCTTTTTCCTAACCCTCACACAGTTTTTAGCAGGCCAGGACTTGAACTGACATGAAGGTTTTATTTATCTGGGCTATGACCAGGTTGTGTTGTGACACTATTTGGCACACTGGTCTGGGAGGCCAGGTGCCTTTCTGTCGTGGGAAGCACTCAGGAGAAAGCTCCCCAGACTGCCTCTTCTCTGAGTGTGGGCAGTATGCACTGTGGTCCACAGTCTCTGGGCAGCCCTGGGTGACTCTGTGTCTGCTTGATGCCCCTGTCGGCCACGGGGCCCTTCCCACCCCACCTCACTGTAGATGTTGCTCCCGCCACCTCAGGGCTTCCTGCCACCTGTCATGTGGGCTGGCCAGGTCTTCCCAGGCTACCGTTCTTGGAAGTTCGAGGTTATTTCTTTATCTCTACACACAGGTGGCACTTTTTAAATTCTTGGATCTTCAGAGAGTGTGCAATGGAGACTAGACATGGGTCACCATTCTGAGGACAATTTCCACTGTCCTCTGAAAGGTATTCCAGCACTTGCTCCTGGGGCCCTCTTGGCCCAAGCAGAGTCCCTTCATCCTCAAGGAATCCTCCCTGAGGTTTGCAGAGCAGTGTCCTTTTTAGGGGTGCTTGGCCCCAGACGTGGAGAACCTGATCACCAGCCTATTGTCCACCTTCTACTCTTCTGTGTGAGTTAATATTATCCATGTGTAATTCAAAGCTTCTCAAAGCAATTATGTAATGAGACTGAATCTGTGATTCCAAAGGACAGGAGCAACAACTTCTGTTTCCTAAGGAATAGAACAGAGACTCTTCAGTGGGGTCTTTGCTCCATGGCCCACCAAACTATCTTCCTCAACTGGATCGCCAGTGAGTATCGCTTCAGACGTCTTGTCCTGTGTGCTGGCTTGGCACATTTTCCTAAGCCCACACTGGCCGTTTCTCACCCCACAGAGCCTTGCTCAGGAAACTGCTTTAGCCTGGAATTCCTCTCTGCCCATTCCTTGCCCCCCAGTGCTCACCTGAATGTCAGCCTCTTTACTGTGTCTTCTCTTGCCAACTCGACCAAGATTTGGCTTCTGTTCTCCGTGTTCAGCACCTTGCCTTTACTTGCCGTGCTTAGTGCCCCCCTGACTTCACCTTCTGTGTCATTCATTCCTGTCAGGCTGTGTTGCTTCCTAGACTGTAAACTCCTCTGGATAGGTATGTTGTGGGGGTCTCAGCCCTTCCTCAAGGAGCCCACTATGGGAGTGGCTCAGATGATGACTCATTTCTCTAAAATAAACTCATTTCTCTAAAATAAAAACAGAATGTATCCAAATACCCTCAATTCTCCAAATCTATCATTAAAGTAGACAAATGGAAATCTTGCCTTTTGAGCCTTATTTTCTTGTCTGGCTTAGTTCAGGAGGTTCAACTGTTGGCAGAACCATGCAAGTGAAGGTCTGCTGAGCCCAGCAGGTGAAGCCAGGGCTGCAAATTGCACCAAGGCTTCAGGGCGTTATGACCAGCTGGGCATGCACTGCTTCTGGGGCCTTCTAATGCTCACTGACATCAGGTGAATTGTCTTCAGGGCATTAGAAAATCTGGGAAAGGTAGGTGAAAATCATAGTTGAGTTAATCCTCCCACATTAGGGATATAGCAACGGTTTCTAGGAGGCCATGTAGAAACAGAGCTGAATTAAATGTGAATCTTTTCCTATAATTGGAAAATATCATAGTAGAAGAAAATAATATGGGTCAATCTTTTCTTCTGTTTCTTGAGCAATATTTATTACTATATACCCATATAGAAGTATCTCTTTAGTGTGCTTTATTTCAGGATCAGTAATATGCTGCCCAAAGTGGCCTAGAAAGGACCCAGGAAGTTGTTGGGATTAAAATTCACGGCATAGAGAATTCATTCTTTTTAACTGCCTGGGTCCCTAATATCATTTATCTGCATTTATCTCAATAATGTCCTCAATAGCTGACTATATAGGAGTCACTATGGAGACCTGAGATACATGTAGTATTGTCCTAACATGTTTTAAAACACAGTAGAAGAAACATGACATGCACACGCATGAATATCCTACAGACTGTGCACTGATATGCATAGGAGCACAGGCACAGCACTGGAAGGTTACTGTGGGTGTCCAGCCTCCCCACCACCCCCAAGTGACACATTCCTCTTTAAATTAAATTGGGCCATGTATACATTGGAAAGCTTCCCACAACCAACACGTGGACCATGATGCTATAGCCCAGATACATCAGTCATCAAAGAATCACTAAAAATATGGTCTAAATTCACTTCCCAGAGACTTCTTACCTCTGCCTTTCACGTATAACTCACCTAACAATACTTTGGGGGGGTGCTAAATAATTCTATCCCAAAGGATGATGACCCAAGCTCAGATAATAAACTGTACTTCAGAGGGTTTCCTTAAGGGGGGCGGGAACTCCATACCTGGGGAGAGATGTGATTTTCCCCCATTTCTCTATGCAGAAACGCCGAAGCCCATTGCTCCCTCGAAGGGCTGCGAAGCCTTCATAGGGCACACTGGATGTTCCTGTGACAAACTGCAGTAACCTTAGTCTCTGCTCATTATTGAAGCGTTCCACCGCCGCCCAGAACCAGCGGATCACAAGGTGCCCATCATGGTAACCTGAACAGAGTGACAGGAGGGAGAAAGACGGGAAGGAGGAGGGAGAGAGAGAGGTGAAACGCACATGGGGCAGGACAGGGGCTGCGCAGCTGCTCCCAGCCTGCTGATCTCTCTAATAACAGCCTTCACAGGGGTCTGGAACAATTTATGTAATTACGTCCAGTTTTAAGACAAAGGCCAAATTAGAAAACAGCCATTCTATAGGAAGATTTTGAGGGATGTCCTCAGAGATGCTTGCTTTTTGTTGAAACAACTGGGATTCCACCAGTCATATTCCTGTCTCTTGTAAATGCAGGCAAGGAGCATCTGCGATCTCTGAGATTATTAAGAGATAAAACCCTCTGTGAGCACAATATTTCATCACATTTTCTTTGTTCTGATGTCTTGGTACCCACATACCATGGGAGAGTCTAGGACTTAATGAAGCCTGGAGGGAAATGGCAAACTTTGTGGAGGGAAGATGCCAGAATCTCCAGCCACCACTGGTACCCACGGAGCAGCCGCGCTCAGGCCAGCCTGGGTGAAGATGAGTTGAGCCCATGGAGGAAGTATGGCCCCTGTCACAGTACAGCTGGGAGCCCTTGCTTGGATCCAATAATCAACATCAATGATTTACACTGACTGCGAATGCAGGTGGCATTACAGACGGGAGCAATCTACTTGGGCTGGGCAGAAGGGGGGACAGCTTCGTGAAAGGGAAGTGAGCTGTGGCCTGAGTGTGTGAAGGGTTTGTGTGAGTGCAGGAGGGCAGGAGGACACTGGCAGGGGAAATAAAGATGAACAGGAATGAGGCAGAACATGTGGGGAATGGCAAGCCGACTAGCGTGAAGGTGTGGTGGGGACTGAAGGGGGACTTGCTGGGGGGCTTCGAGGACCTCGTCAGCCAGGCAGAGACAGTTTGACTTGACAACTTAGGTCAGTGCTTTTCTTACCTTTCCAAGAGGAGCCTAGAATCCCTCAGAGGCTTCTCATGGCCGAGTGTACTGGGGACACGGGGAGGCCGAGATGGCGGGCCCTAGCTTTCTCTCTACTGTACTGATCAGGGTTTCTCTGTAATATTGTACTTGAAGAAAGGGTTTTGAGCATAAAACAAAGCTTTCGAAAACCTCTTCTATAGTAATAAGGTGCTTATTTTAAGGGTAGGAAAATGGCCTGATGAAAAATAATGCTTTAGGAAGTCTAGTTTGGTAGTGTGAAGGTGAATGGTTAGGAGGGGTTAGAAATTCAGTTTGGAGAGACAGTAGCTACAGTCATGTTCTGGCAAACTGGGACTGAGGAGAAGAGGGCTCCTGCTCCACAGGACACGCTTCCCTGCCGGCTGGCCTGTGGATGGCGGTTCTCTGGAACGCATCTGCATGGAGTTGGGCCAGAGACCACCAACAGGGATTACTGTCACCTGAAGGAAAGTTCAGGTTGGAAGGTAAAGGAACGTGTGTCTTAGAGCCTACTTTGCACATGGGTCAAAGTAAGGCCAATTTTTTGTAGTCTTCAAAGAGTGATGACATATATATATATATATAAATGTATATGTAATATATATAAACATTTCATAAATGCATATGAAATATGTATAAACAACAACACTGAGGTTCAGGTGCTGATGCCCCTGTGCAGTTGAAAATCTCCATATAACTTTTGACTCCCCCAAAATGTAATGACTAGTAACCTACTGTTGACTGGAAGCCTTACTGATAACATATACAGTCAATTAACACATATTTTGTACATTATATATACTATATGCTGTATTCTTATACTAAAGTAAGCTAAGGAAAATAAAATGTTTTTAAATTGTTGCAAATCTTTAAAAAGTTTTCCAATATGTTTATTGAAAAAAATTCATGAATAAGTAGACCCACATAATTCAAACTCATGTTGTTGAAGGGTCAACTATCTAAGTTATATAGAGTACATATACTATTTATATTATAAATATATATTTATTCATATTTATACTATAGATTATATATATACTGTATAATATATATGTGATGCTATATATTATATGCATTATATAAAATATGTGTGTTATATATATTTCATATATATATGTAGACTATATATAGAATGTATATACAGGAATATTATTCAACCATGAAAAAGAAACGAAATACTGAAACACGGACAAGCCTTGAAACAGTATGCTAAGTGAAAGAAACAGACTCAAAAGACCATGTGCTGTATGACTGTGTATTCATGAATTATCCAGAACAGGTAAATGCATAGAGAAAATGCAGACTGATGGTTGCCAGTGCTGGGGAGCCGGAGGAATGGAGAGCTACTGCTTACAGACTGGGGAGTTTCCACTGCACTGTTTACTTTAAAATGGTTAATTTAAGGTTATGTCAATTTTGCCTCCATTGAAAAGCTCTGCAAAGTGATGAACCATGTCTGTGGGGCTCACCTCCCCGGTACTCAGTGTTGTTTCTCCAGTCATTCAGATCAATTTCCGCCGTGCCAGCTATCACCAGCTCCAGCTCCCGGGCGTCAAACACAGACACAAGCCTCGAGTCCACGACCTGAAACACAGATTGGGCTTCTGCACACAGATCCAACCACATCAAAAAGTTATAGTCATTATTATTATTTCTGTGGGTTAGGCTGTGGGACTGACCATCCTTTACAACTCTTTTGTCAATATGTTATCATGTTTAAGTTCAAAATTGCAACTTAAAACATCTCAAAACACAACTCATTCATGAGCTGTGAGTTCAAAAAAGGTCCTCAGCTTTTCACTACCTCTGACAGCTCTTCTCAGAATGATGTTATGAACAAAACTGACTCAACTTGTTCTAGTCACATTTGAGTTTCCAAGTGTCATTGCAATTTAAAGGCAAAAATTCCAAGTCACTCTGTAAGTATTATCATTTCACTTAAAGGCATCCTCTTTTCCACATAAAACTAGGACTGGGCATTCTGTATTAAAAGGACTGTATCTCCCCTCCTCCTCCCTCCCTTCCTTCCTGCCTCTTTCAAAGCTCTGTTAGGGCATGAGCTCTGGCTTTACATCCCGTTCCCTCGTGTATCACATACAACTGAGCACCTGCACTGGGTATCTCCTTTAATCAAACCAGTGGTGGGTGATCCAGTTAGCCATGCCAGGAAAAAAAATCCTTCCAAGACCCAAGCCCCGAGAAAACATTTACAGCCTCTTGTTTTGAAACTGGAAGAGTTAAAGGATGTCAGTTTGGGTGCATAGAAGGCTAGCAGCTGTCACTGGCCTCACGATTTACTATCTGTGCATGGATTGTGCAGCACAAAGTGACACTATCTTGAAATAAATGTCTAGCAAGAGTGAACAATGTCTTCCAACGCCTTCACTTCATTTACTTTTATTTCATAGAAAGAAAGGAAATGTAACATGCGCGTATCTGGATGAAAGATGCTGATGTTTTCACATCTGGCAATCAGGGCTATGGGACACCAGTTCTGTGGGAGCATTTTTCACTTACGGCAGGAGCTAGGTTGCCTAGAAAACTCTGATCCTCCTCCATCCAGCCTATCTAGGTCCTCTCTGCACTCTGGGGAGTGGAGTCGAGCCCTTCACCTGCCTTGCATCTCCCCCTCCCTTCTCCTCCGAGCTGCGTCCAATGTCGAGGGCCCCAGCCCTGGCCTGCCTTGCTCAGCCGGGCCTGCGTCTCACCTCGTAGAAGCCCCGCACCAGCGCCTCCGTCTGCTGCACCACGCCGCGTTCCACCCGCCACTTCACCATCCTCTCGATGTACTCCTTCTTGTTCTTTTCAGTCACCTGGGTGTTGGCTCCCCCGGATTTTAACTCCCTTTCTGTTACCTTGAGGCAAAGCAGAATGATTGTGATGCTTGTCAATCCAGTTTACCTTGCAGCGAGTGTGAACTATTTGCCGAAAGTCTTCTCACACAGGTTTAGCCTTATTGCCTCTTCCGTCCTTTTTCCTTTCCTGAAGTTACTAAAAATGCTCTGGTTGTATTACACAGATACTAGAGCACCTTAGAAAAAGGCTGCAGTTCCTTGCTTTATAAAGAGGAAAAGTGTTTCCTTAACTCAAGAGGAATAAAGGAAATAAAAGAAAAATGCCCTGTTTTCCCTAAATGGACTGGAATGTCCCCATACCAGTCACCCACTTGATTCCCCCAAATCCAAATTAGATCAAATTTGTGACAGCCACCAGCTTCCCCACCCACAGCAGATCATTGGCAGCAAAATAGCAGAGTGGGGGAAGGTGGTTTTTACAGCAGGTAGGACAGTGGCTGGAGAATGACAGACTGGCCTTGAGAAAGGAACCAGGAATGACATTCCACTTAGGATGGGGATGCATGTTTGTTAGCACAGCCTGAGTCATCAAGAAATGTTATGATTTGTGCCCTACCTTTTGAAAGGCAAGAGGGTGAATAACAGTTTAAACTTTAGTCTAAAAGTATTGTGTTTGAAGGAATTAAGTGTCAGTCACCTTAAATTCCCTTAAGGAACTCACTGAACCACTCAATGTTATAAGACAAACGAGGCACAGCTGTACTTAGCTGGTTTTAAAATATATGTGTGTGTATGCGTGTGAGTGTGTGTGTGTGTGTGTGTGTGTGTGTGTGTATACAGACACAGGTACCTAAACAAAAGCATCCACAGAAGTCTAATAGTTACTTTTTCTTCTTTCACTTAGGTGGCTAGTGCTATTTGTAAAACACTGGCCAGATAACATATCAGTTGCCACCCAATATCCACATTCCTTGGAACTTCTGGTTCCTAGCTGTCTAGTTAAAGATTTTATTTCCTAACCTCTGTTGCAGCTAAATTCTGGCCAATAAGGTGTGAGCAGGAGAGTGCGTGGCACTTCCAGGGGGCCTCCTCAAAGGGAGGGCTGCTGCTCCTTTGTCCTGCTGCTTCAGATGTGGACAGGATGGTGGGGCGCCCTGTGCTCCTGGGCCATGAGTGCAGGTGCCCATCGCAGAGGCTGCAGTCCTGCCTCCAGCGCTCACGTGAGAGGAAAACACACTTCCGTTAACGTCAGCAGGGTCTGTCTGGTGTCTTCACTAGCAGCTGAACCCTGACTAACTCACCCAGGAAGAGCCTATGGGGTCTCACCTGCGTCTGTCTGTCGGTCTGCTCTTCCCCATTTCCTAACTGGCCAAAAGAAGGGCGATGACTAAATTTTCTAAAATGAAAATCATCATTCTCCATGACTTCATTGGAAGAGAAACAGGTCGTGTTTAAGCTTTAAACAATATGCATTACTTTAGATCTGCAACCCATCTGGATCTTTATCACAGAACATTTTAAACATTTTTGGAGTCATTTAATTCCTACACTCTCTGCACATGAAGGATTGCTCTTTTGTATTTTCAACATTAATTTTTATTTTAACTTCATATATTTAGTTATTTGTAGTTAACTTCATTTTTTTGAGTAGATATTATGTGTTAATGGAATAAAATTCAAGTGGTATAAAAGGCCATAAAATGAAAAGCAACTCTCTCCTCCACCTCATCTCCCAGCCACTCAATCTCCTTATCTGGAGGAAATCATCCTTCCTTCCCTTCCAGGGAGATTCTATGTAAAAACCAGGAATTTGTATATATCACCTCTTTTTCCCACAAACCGTAGCATATTACACACCGCGTTCCTCTCCATACTTGTTTCACTTAAAAATACATCTTTGCAATTGTTTGGACCTGTTTTATTCTTTGCTGTTGTTCTAACATGTTTATCGTTTATAATTTATATGTAACTTGATGGGCTGGGGCATCTTACACTTTTTAACAGCTTCGCATCTCACTGTCCACTTCCATTGTGTGAACATATCATAATTTATTTAACCAATGCTCCACTGCTGGACATTTAGATTATTCCAGATCTTTTGCCATTTGCAACAATGCTACAATAAAGATCTTGATGCATTAGTGATTTCAATTAGGTGTGAATATATCTGTAAGACAAATTCCTAGGTGTGGAAGCTGAGTCAAAGGCAGGTGCATTTAGAATGAGGACAGATGTCACAAAGGTGCCTTTCATAGAGTGTGAACCAATCTTCTGCTTCCTTTCACCTACACTCCTGTATGGAGCGCCTGTTTCTCTGTACCATCTCTAAAGTAGAATACTGCTAGATCTTTTGATTTTTGACATTCTCTTAAAGGAAAATGGTATTTGTGCTTTAATTTATGTTTCATACAGTTGTGAGTGAGGTTGGGTATATTTCCTCTTATTTCCTTTTCTGGGAACAATCTATATTCTTTGCCAGTTTTCTATTGTGTTGATAATTTCTTATTGATCTGTGGGATTTTTTTCCTATATTGATAGAGTCTTTTGTCTGTGTTATGCATTACAATGTGTTAAATATTACACCATTTTATCTTTGCTTATGGTGTATTTTTGCCATGCAAAATCAAAAAAATTGTTTAGTGGACTAATCAATCTTTTATGACTTTGAAAGTTTGTGTCACATCTACAGCAGCATTCCTTATTGCAAGATTGAAAATAAAAATGCTCTCATTTTCTTCTTTTCATTTTTTTATTTTTAATTTTTTTTATATTCAGCTTTCTTTTTCAGGTGGAATTTATTTTAGTGTAATTAATTAGGTTAGGGATCTAACTTAAAATTTTTAAGATGGTTACCCAGTTGTTTTAATACAATTTGCTAAATCATTGATTTATTTTACAAATTTACCCTCTATGATAGGGAAAGTGTAAAGGATGAGCTAAAATAGTCATGCACAGGGAATAATGTATTTTACACGGTCATCTATGGCAGATCAGTTAAGGAAACTGTATACTCTTGAACATATTTAAATGTGCTCTAGCTATGAGAAGAAATAAATTTTTTCTCAAATATGGAAGAACGTATTCTTCAGAAATATGTTTATGCAAAGAAAATACAACAGAATTTGACATTTTCCAGGACCTGTCCAAGATTCTTGATTGAGATGTGGGCAGTAGGTGACCTGCAGATTCAGTGGGGTAACCCTCATCGCAGACTCAGCACACTGTCCCCTTTCATGCAAGGTACTTACAAAGTCTCCCAACTTAATTCTCACAACAAAGCATTGCAAATTACCACAGGTCGGCTCTTGGGATCTCTAGTAAATGATGTTCCTAAAACCTTAATTGTTAAATCTTCTCAGGCTACTGTTAGCCTGATAAAACTGTAACCTAGATGATTCAATGTCATATACATGCTGATAGAAAACTAATGGGAACCTTTTTCTTGTTAACTAATAGTGAGATGTATACATTTTGGAGGAGTAACTATCTAAATGGTACTGATAAACGTATTTTTTCAGTTGCACAGATAACAAAAACTTTACATAGCACACTTTACAAATAGGCTTTCTGATCCATTATCACAACCACTTTGATTTTCAAAAAACTCTATAAAGTAGATCAATGTCAAAACAAGAAAAAGAATGAAGAAGGCATACCTTTATTAAAGGGAGTAGCTCTCAAATAATTATATTTGGAATTGAATGCAACTGCTTATTTTCTAGTTAAAAAACAAAATCCCATTATATAAGATCTAGCAATCCCAATTCTGGGCATATAGCCAAAGAATTGAAAGCAAGGACTCAAACAGATATTTGTGCACCTGTGTTCATAGTAGCACTATTCACAACAGCCAAAAAGTGAAAGAAACTCAAGTGTCCATCAACAGATGAATGGGCAAACAAAATATGGTATATACATACAGTGGAGTTTTTCTCAGCCCTAAAAAATAAGGGAGTCTTGTAATATGGTGGTTTCAAGGAAGAGGGAGAAATGAGAAGTTGTTGCTTAATGGGTACAATTTCAGTTTTGCAAGATGGAGAAGTTCTGGAGATTGGTTGTGCAACAATGTGAATATACTTAATACCAAACTGTACATTTAAAAATGGTTAAGATGGTAGACTGTGTCATGTGAATTTTCCATAACAGCAAACAAAATATCTCTTCCTAGCCCCACATCTCACAAACCTGTCCGAAAACCTCTTCGTTAACGGTGAAAGTGAGGTCCAAGATATCCGTGATGATGTTGTCCTTCATCCATTGCAAGCTCTGGTGAAACTCCTCATCCAGGTATTCCAGGTCACTCAGATCACAGGGCCTGGGTGCATTCGAAGGCAGAAAGGTGCACAGATTGTTAAACAAATGGCTGTGCACACCTTGCTGGTGTTTCTGCCCCTCCTGGCTAAAATAACATAGACCTATTTTAAAATGTGATACTTTTTCGTATGTTGATGAATCCTTTTTATTCACTCAATATTTTTTTCAAAAGGAAATATTAACATATTTACAATAACAAACATGAAACAATTATTTAAATTTTTTCTCAAATATGGAAGAACGTATTCTTCAGAAATATGTTTATGCAAAGAAAATACAACAGAATTTGACATTTTCCAGGACCTGTCCAAGATTCTTGATTGAGATGTGGGCAGTAGGTGACCTGCAGATTCAGTGGGGTAACCCTCATCGCAGACTCAGCACACTGTCCCCTTTCATGCAAGGTACTTACAAAGTCTCCCAACTTAATTCTCACAACAAAGCATTGCAAATTACCACAGGTCGGCTCTTGGGATCTCTAGTAAATGATGTTCCTAAAACCTTAATTGTTAAATCTTCTCAGGCTACTGTTAGCCTGATAAAACTGTAACCTAGATGATTCAATGTCATATACATGCTGATAGAAAACTAATGGGAACCTTTTTCTTGTTAACTAATAGTGAGATGTATACATTTTGGAGGAGTAACTATCTAAATGGTACTGATAAACGTATTTTTTCAGTTGCACAGATAACAAAAACTTTACATAGCACACTTTACAAATAGGCTTTCTGATCCATTATCACAACCACTTTGATTTTCAAAAAACTCTATAAAGTAGATCAATGTCAAAACAAGAAAAAGAATGAAGAAGGCATACCTTTATTAAAGGGAGTAGCTCTCAAATAATTATATTTGGAATTGAATGCAACTGCTTATTTTCTAGTTAAAAAACAAAATCCCATTATATAAGATCTAGCAATCCCAATTCTGGGCATATAGCCAAAGAATTGAAAGCAAGGACTCAAACAGATATTTGTGCACCTGTGTTCATAGTAGCACTATTCACAACAGCCAAAAAGTGAAAGAAACTCAAGTGTCCATCAACAGATGAATGGGCAAACAAAATATGGTATATACATACAGTGGAGTTTTTCTCAGCCCTAAAAAATAAGGGAGTCTTGTAATATGGTGGTTTCAAGGAAGAGGGAGAAATGAGAAGTTGTTGCTTAATGGGTACAATTTCAGTTTTGCAAGATGGAGAAGTTCTGGAGATTGGTTGTGCAACAATGTGAATATACTTAATACCAAACTGTACATTTAAAAATGGTTAAGATGGTAGACTGTGTCATGTGAATTTTCCATAACAGCAAACAAAATATCTCTTCCTAGCCCCACATCTCACAAACCTGTCCGAAAACCTCTTCGTTAACGGTGAAAGTGAGGTCCAAGATATCCGTGATGATGTTGTCCTTCATCCATTGCAAGCTCTGGTGAAACTCCTCATCCAGGTATTCCAGGTCACTCAGATCACAGGGCCTGGGTGCATTCGAAGGCAGAAAGGTGCACAGATTGTTAAACAAATGGCTGTGCACACCTTGCTGGTGTTTCTGCCCCTCCTGGCTAAAATAACATAGACCTATTTTAAAATGTGATACTTTTTCGTATGTTGATGAATCCTTTTTATTCACTCAATATTTTTTTCAAAAGGAAATATTAACATATTTACAATAACAAACATGAAACAATTATTGGCTCATGGACTCTCCATGGCAATTGATGAAAAGTATCATTTAAAAACAACAAAGCTATAAACACATTAATTGTGTTTAGTAGTTAGTGCACTTCGTGATGTTACTATAATTATTCACATAAACTGATTCATATCCATTACATGATGTAATAATAGTCTTTTCCCATGCTTACCTAAAATCTTCAAATGCCTTTTTTATTGAAGGCGTATGTGGTATCTAAGCATTCAGAAAGTAAAGCACCATAAACCTAACAGGACTATTAGGGCAAAACTGGGTCCGGAGGGTCAGAGGTGCAGGGTCAGCCCCTGTCATCCTGCAGGCAGGGCTGGGTGGATGCACGGTGGTTTGCAATACACTTACAGTCTCAGGAGTGCCTTATAGAAGGGCCTCGTGAAGAAAGCATCGAGAAGGTACTGATGAATCAGAGCCAGGCCTAGGATACGACCACTAAACCTGAACCTGGAACACAGACAAGGCAGAGAAATTAAAGGGCAGGTGGGAATTTATATCGTTAAATATTTCATTGTATTTTTAATCATTTTTAAATTGAAATATAGTTTATATATAATGTTATATTGGCTTCAGATGAACAACATAGTGATTCATCAATTATATACTTATTAAATGCTCACCGTAAGTACAGTTACCATCTGTCACCATACGAAGATCATACAATATTATGAGCTATATTCCCTGTTCTATACTTCCATCCCTGTGACTAAATTATAATTTGAAGTTTGTGCTTTTTTTTCTTTTCACCTGTTTTACCTCCCACCCCATAGTAAACAACTGTCCAATCTCTGTGTTTAAGAGTCTATTTCTGCTTTGTTTTGTTACTCAGATTTCACATACAAGTGAAATCATATGTTCCTCTTTCCTGACTGACTTATTTCACTTAGTGTAATACCCTCTAGGTCCATCTACATTTTTGCAAATGGCAAGATTTGTTTCTTTTTTATGGCTGAATAATATTCCATTATATATATGTACCAAATCTCATTTATCCATTTATCTACTGATAGACACTTCGGTTGATTCCATATCTTTGCTATTGTAAACAATGCTGCAATAAACATAGAAGTGTTTACATTTTTTTAAAAAACTAATTATTTTGTTTTCTTTAGGGAGATTCCCAGAAGTGGAATTGCTAGGTCATATGGTATTTCTAATTTTAGTATTTTGAGAAACCCCCATACTGGGTTCCATAGTGGCTGCCCCAGTCTGCAATCCTACCAACAGTGTAGGAGGGTTTCCTTTTGTCCATATCCTTACTAACACTTGTTATTTCTCATCTGATTGATATTAGCTGCTCTGACAAATGTGAGGTGATACCTGATTGTGGTCTTGATTTGCATTTCCCTGATGATTAGTGATGTTGAGCATCTTTTGATGTGCCAATTAGCTACCTATATGTCTTCTTTGGAAGAATGTCTATTCAGGTCCTCTGCCCATTTTTAATTCAGATTTTTTGTCTTTTAGACTTGTGTGAGTTCTTTATATATTTTGGAAGTTAGCCCCTTATCAGATATATCATTTGCAAATATATTCTCCCATACAGTAGGTTGCCTTTTTCATTTTGTTGATGGTTTCCTTTGCTGTGCAGAAGCTTTTTACTTTGATGTAGTTCCACTTGTTTATTTTTGCTTTTGTTTGCCTTGTCTGGAGAGACATATCTAGGAAAAAATTTCTAATGTTGATGTTCAAGTGTTTACTGCTTATGTTTTTCTTCTTGTAGTTTTATGGTTTCAGGTCTTATGTTTAGGTCTTTAATCCATTTTCTATTTATTTTTGTATATAGTGTAAAGTAATGATCCAGTTTCATTGTTTTACATGTAGTTCTCCAGTTTTCCCAGGACCACTTACTGAAAAGACTGTCTTTTCCCCATTCTTTATTGTTGCGTCCTTTGTTGTAGATTAAATGACCATATAGTATTATTTCTCGGCTCTCTATTCTCTTCCATTAGTCTATATATTTGTCCTTGTATCATTATCATACTGTTTTGATTACTGTAGCCATACAAACTTTATGATTATTTGCTCTATTTTAGTGAAAAGTGTCATTGGTAGTTTGGTGGGGATTACAAAGCTATCTATAGATAGCAGTATGCCCATTTTAACAATATTAATTCTTTCCCTCCATGAGCATGGAATAGCTTCCATTTACTTGTGTCATCTTCAATTTCTTTGATTAATGTTTTACAGTTTTCAAAAGTATAGGTCTTTCATCTTGCTTAGATTTATTCCTAGGTATTTTATTCTTTTTGATGCAACTGTAAATGGAATTGTTTTCTTAATTTCCCTTTTTGCTAGTTTTTTTTGTATATAGAGATATAACAGATTTTTGTCTGTACATTGATTTTGTATCCTATGACTTTACTAAATTCATTTTTTAATTATAATAGTTTCTTGGTGGAGTCTTCAGGGTCTTCCACATATATTACCATATTACCATCTCATCTGCAAAGAGTGAGTTTTACTTCTTCCTAACCAATTTGAATGCCTTTTATTTATTTTTCTTGTCTGAGTGCTGTGGCTAGGACTTCTAGGAATATGTTGAATAAAAGTGGTGAGAGTGGGCATCCTTGTCTTGTTCCTGATCTTAGAGATAAAAACACTCAGCTTTTTTGCCATTGAATATGAAGTTAGCTGTAGGTTTGTCATCTATGGGTTTTACTCTGTTGAGATATGTGCCCTCTATAACCACTTTGTTGAGAGTTTTTATCATGACTGGATGTTGAATTTTGTCAAATGCTTTTTCAGTATCTATTGAGGTGGTCATATCGTTTTTATCCTTCCTTTTGATAACTTAATTTATATTTTTATTAACATGTTTCTTTACATAAAGTACTCATGTTACACCACTTAAAGACTTTGTCAATTGATGACACAAGCGAGGCCTCATATTCCCTCTTCTTATTCTTTGTCATAAGCAGTGCCTAGATGCTTGGTATGCACTGAAGGAGCCCTCCTCCCCTCCAAGTACAAGAATAGAGTCATTTTGCTAGATTCTCTTTTCAGACCTGGGAATATAAGAATCCAAGAAAAGAAAAGCACTGGAGAATGGGGATTCTGGAAGCCTAGATAAACAGCGCATATTGGACCTGAGCAGGACATGAACCCAAGGATATAGAACGTTTGCTAGACTGTGCCTCCTTACCCATTCAAGCATTTCAGACATACCACCTGAAGGTCTGTCTGTGCCTGATATACACTGGGGCATGGAGGATTTGAGTATGAATCACATGTGGTGGTTGTGCTCATAGCTAGTAGGAAGATTACATGGAATCACACTGTCGTAAGTAATAAGCTGGGCCTACATTACTATTTAATACTGCCAGCCACATACAAACAATATCTCTGCAGTGGAGAAATGCTCATGTAGACCTGGCCACATCCAGATGTAAGGGCCTTTATCGATTTAAATCCTTGTTGGGGCAAATTGCCTCTTGATCCCATTGTTGCCCTGCTCCTAAACCAGCTTCCTGTCTGCCTGGTCTAGCACACTGGTTTCCTTATCATGTAAGCCTTGCCCACCTCCAGTACCTGCCTCCATAACTGGGGTCTCCCTGGTCTCCTTTTAACTAGATTTTCACCTAAATGTGGACTTTGTTGTGACTTTTCTCAGATCCTCCTAATTGGAATTTCCAACTAACCCATCTCCACTACCTTTCACAAGATTCTTTTTAGACTCAAAAGATTTCCTAATTTGTTACTGCTATAAAAATTATTAAAGTGAATAAATTATCTGACCCCATAGAATAAGTGTAATTATAAACAACAACTTCAAATTGGTGTGCTAGCAGTTGATTTTTTTTGCATGACATAACATGCAATATTATTGACTCTGAAGAGACTAGAGGTGAAGAGATCCTCAGTAAAGCTGCTCTGGGGACACTGTGGACAGGGATGGCCATAGGATGAGCAAACATCTGAGAGTCCTCGGGGCTGCAGTGCCCCACCAGGGCTTCATTCCTCAGTGCTCTTTCCCGACCACCCTAGTAACTGACTGTTCCCCAGCATGGGAACCATGATCCGGTGTATAAAAACAGTTTACTTTTACTCCAATACAGGTCAACCCACTCCAACTGGACTCTAAAGCATAGGACTGGTGCCCCCCAACATGAAGGCGGGGTTGCGGCCATGCTGGTAGAGGAGACTGAGACCCCCTAAAGCCAGGAGAAAGCAAAGGTCAGCACAGAGCTGCCTGGCCAAGCACCCTCCTCACTTAGAGGTGGTCCCAGTGGGCCTAAGAAAGAGAAAAGGTAATCTTGGCAGGCAGTGAGTGCCCACAGACATGGAGTAGATGAAAAAATTACATGAGAATATTGTTTTTCAGTTCAATTTTAAAAAGTTGAATATCTCAATGAATTGTAAATATTCTAGCAAAAAATAAATTATTCAAATCTTTTAAAAAAGAAGTAGAGAACTTAAATAGACAATCATAGCGTAAACTAGAAAACTTTGAAGAAAAAGAATTATATCCAAAATTGATGCTGGGGACTGGATATATGTATATATATATATACACATATTCCCTTTCAAACCCTGAATGGACAGAAAACCCCTCTGGCATTTCAATAGTTCCAGAAATCAGAGTAGAAAACTTGTTAATTCATCATTAAACTATTGTAACCACAAAATAGAATCTGGAAAAGAGAAAAAGAAAGAAAACTGAAGACACCTCACTCATACATAAAAAAATAACATACACAAAACTATCAATCCATTCCCAGAACAATGCAAAATGGTTAAGGTTGTTTGATTTTAGGATTCGACAGGTGAGTACTAGACATTCTATTATTAATATTAATTATAATGTCAACAGACAAAAATTCTATGGCTTTTTAGGTGGGGAGTAGAAGCTGAAAAGTTACTTGCTAAAATGCACCATCAATTTCTGGAGGAAAAAAAAATCTTTGTAGTAAACCAGGAAAAGAAGAATGCTTCCTTAGGGTAGTAAAACATCTTTCTCAGCATTGTATGTAACAGTAGAAGTACAGAAGGATGCTGGTCATGACCACTTTTCACAATATTCTATCAGTTCTAGTCCTGCAATTAATTATAAGTGAAAATTGGAATCAGATTAGAAATAACTGTTATTAAATGTTTCTTAGGCAACACATGTCATTCATGTTATCTCATTGATCCTTGCATCAACTCTATTTTGTGATTGTGGCCTCTTTGTTTCACAGGGTAACAAGTCCAGGGCCAATAATTAGCCCAGGCAAGTAGTGTAGGGAGGACACTGCCCCAGACCTGCCTGACGCCAGACCAGGCCCTTCATTCTGTGTCCATTCTGAGAACCCAAACAGTAAAGATGTTAATCTTCTGGTCAGGGGCCAGGCTACCTGCTATGTGAGCTCATGGAAGGACTTAACCACCTCCTCTCCCTTTCCTTTTCTGGAAAACTGCTCTCTTTAAATGATAGCTATTATTGATATTATTATTTTATGTTGGCT